TATCCTCAACTGGAGTAGAGAAAAAATGCTAGTACACCGTCTTACCATCATGAATCTCGCTAGTCACTTTTGGCTGCTCGCTTATTAAGCTCCGACATTTACATTATTATTAAGGATATAAAAGCAGCATAGTAATAAGTGTTGGTGTAATAGTTGAGTGCACGTGTCTACCGTACGGCACCCCCTGCAGCTCTCTCTTCGGTTTTTCAGATCAGGACTGATTGGGCAAACGTCAGTACGCCTCTGTGGGGATTTTGGCGCTGTATTGATCTGTATAGCGTTTCGCACAGATCAACTCGCTTTGTCTATCCGTCTAGCCTTCTGTGCGCCCTACCATTCCTTTGACTTGATTGTAACTCATCGACCACGCAGAGATGCCGCCGTTGCTGGAAATCCCAGCGGGCGCGGCGTTGTGCATGGCGCCTGAACAGGGTAGTAAGCAGAACTTATCAGCACTTGGGACAACACGAGAGACAGATTAAAGACTAGACATAGAGTATTAAGGTTAAATTTATTGTGGACTCTTTTTGCCTTCCGCTACTTCGCCAGTCGCTAGTCGTTTCCTGGCTGGCCCAGAGCAATGTGGCACGTGTATCGTATCACAAAAACAGGCATGTTCACCTACGATGTTATTCCCAATGCCGCTGTCTTATAGCTAGGTGAGGAGTAAGACTTACTGCTACGGCCATAGCTGTTTGTTTGATTCTAATGACTCTCGCTAGACCTGATGGCTCAACACACGGCCCCTTCGGCAGCCGTTAGCCATGACGGGGTCACCACTATTTAGCTCCACCACCGTCGAAGAGGCCATGGATTTTGCCGCTGTAGTAAGACGCCGATCTAGGGAACGAACGAAGCGCCCCGTTTGTGTATCTTCTTCGTTTCAATGAAGGCAACAGCTGCGGTGGCAGCGGCAGCAGCGACGACTAACCCCGTTTCAGCGTCGCGCTTCTGCCCAGAACCGGCAACCGGTATTGGGGAGCACGCGAGACCAGCCCGGGTCACGCTGCAATCTTTTCCTGACTATTCTCGTTGGGGTCGACGATTTTTCTAACACAAATATACCAGCGGGAAAGCGGAATAGCTAGGAACCTCACAACAGCACGACAAATGCACATAAGGCAATTTATAAGAATACCTAAAGCACGGGCGGTCACTAATGTCGAATAGATAAATGGCAATCGGTTAGGGCCAGTGTGTTGTAAATGAAATGTCCTATTAAATTAGTGAAAAGGGAAAACTATTTCCTACGGTTTTAATCGAACACAAAAATTCAGCAATGTTTTATTCTTTCCAAGCTGTTTGCCCAAATAAAAATGGCCGATCTGGAACGAAAGCTGTTAAAATGCTTGAGCGTTCTCGCTTCTGCACGAACTGTATGTATGCATCTCATAATTCTAATAAGAAAAAATTATAATTTTAAAATATACCGGCAGGCTACGCTTCATTGATAACCACGGTCGCTGCTGTCCACCATATCTTCAATCGAAGATATAATGCGGAGCAGACATCGATTATTATATTAGTTGTCATTAATTTTGGCGTTTTCCGGTTTTCATTTGCATGTCGTCATCGAACCTCAGCTTTGGAGCGTTCTACCGCTATGTTTCGAGTTTTACGTCCGCCATCGCCGTTGCATGCATGCCACCTATCCACGTTCAGCGTAGCTGACAATATAAGTATGAACTGGAATAAGAAGCGCAATATAGAATAGTTCCTAGGGGTACGTTGGTCATTTGATGCGAAAAAAACATGGGCTATTCAGATAATAGGCAAATCTGTGACTGAAATTGTTTACTCAATTGAAGAACTTTGTAGCCAGGACGGCATTTTGAATGTAGACTTCAAAGCTGTTTCAGTGTGTTGGCCTAGCGGATAAGTAACGCTTACAGTCAGGAATCAGTACAGATCTTATTGTCACATACTTTACCTATGAGAAAGTTGATTAATAGACATTGTTGCAGCAGGTGTTAACTGTGCTCGGTACTTACTTTCTGTGAATTGGCATGACCGTTGAATGGGGGAAACACAGTTCAGTATCAATAAATAGTCCTTGCTATATTCAAATCACCTAGCAGATGGAGCAAATTACACAGTGATCATTTTGAAGACGACGTTGATAACGTCTATTGTACAAGTCACTTTTCGAGGTGTATTCCCTCTTTTGCCCTTTTCGGTATGGCGACACACCGTACGAAGTTCGGAACAAAAATGTTGCAATTTGAAAATCTATAATTTTCGTTTCCGTTTTGCTTACCTTTATTTTCCACCTCATTCGCACCTTCGACTTTTACGCCTGGTAAGCCTGATTCCCTTGAAACGGTACATACTTTGAAAATTTGTATTTTTTTTTTGTACCTAGATTCGTAGCTGTTGACCGAAACATCAACTGTTACCCCAGCTGTTCACTAGTAACATAAAATTTCTTGATACTTTAGGTTGAATCTACTGATGAGTAAATCACGTTGAAGGAAGCAAGCGTTGCTGGAGGAACAGGCCCACCTATAAATAAAAGTTTTGAACTCAAGTACGAGTCAAGCTCTCGATAAATAACTGACTACCTCTGTAAATATTAAAATGATTAACTATTTTTTTACTCTTACTCATGGGTCCAAACAGCAAACCGCACGGGAAAACAATAACCCATAGTTTTTCTTAGCAAATGGAACCACATATTCTAAACGGAAGGTTAGACTGGCCTGCACGCCACAGGACAAAAAAAATTAGAATCGAAAAAAATCTTCCTGTTACCATGGTGTGACTCGTCATTTTCTGCTAGAGCTAGTAGATGATCGATGGCTTATCCCTGCAAAGCACTTGTTTGCTTCGTTAGCCTAGAGCTCCACGAAAGGAAAGTTTTTTGTGATTTTTTTATAGCCGGAGCCTCTAGCTTGTCCGAATTTTTTTACACTAATCCCAAACACTTGCTTCGTAGAGATGTTGGAACTAAAAGTATAAGGAGGTTCTCTATGCTACACCAAACGCATTCAACAAATGTCGATTAAAGCTTTGAAAAGCCAAAAACTTTCGAAGTCGCCTTCCGGCTACAAAACTATTGTAGGCGTAGCCCATAGCGGTTTGTAGAATGAGCTGCACATTTGGCATTCTTCGCACACCAGGTCACTAGATTTTCGAAAACAGGTTGTGGTCCTTTCGTGGCAATTCGGGACCCTATCGCAGAACAGGCACGGCATTCGTTTAGTTAGCTAACAACTAAAATGTAACTAACTTTAAACCGGGCAGGCAGGCAGGCAGGCAGGCCCAGCTGAAATACGGCCAATGTTCAAGGGTCCACCCGCTTTGCTACAAAATATTCTCAGTATTGATTAACGACACGCCGTCAATTGACCCTGATCGGTCGGTCTCGTCCATAGCATTGCCAGCCATTACTTCTCTGACTTTAGATCCATCGTAATATTGATATATATATATATATACAGAGTAGAGATTTCACAGAGCAAATAGATAAAGGTTTTTCTTACTGTTTACATTTGTGGTGCCATTCGCAACTAATACACAAACATCATCTAATACTTGCAGCTATTGAAATGTTGTTGAAATCAGCCATTCAATAAGGCATAACGTCAAAAAACATCTTTAAGTACTTCCGCAGTTTCTACAGCCGCACAAAATCTTCATATTCCCATTTGACTAATTAGATAATTATAGATATTTAGCAATATGCTCAATTGAAGATTTCAGTTTATAGTTATGAATAGGCCATATTCTATTATGGATATTGCACGAGAGTTTTTTTACAAATGCTGGTAAACATAATCAGGGAATCAGAAAGGATGAATATAAGAGGTAATAGTTGGTGTTTTGTCGTAAATGCCTACGTTTCGTAAACTTACGCGCTAAAAATGACTCTAAAAAGCTTTCCAATGATCGCGCAAGGGAAAATTTATAACGTAGCAAAAATTACTCGTTCAACATTTATCGTCTGCAAACTTGAACTTTGAACTCGATACTTCGCTATTATTAACTACTAGTAAATTTGATGCTATTTCATTCTATTGTATTTTCCTTTTGGTCGAAGTGATCGATTCTTATTCGCCAGACACCTTGTCTTCCTAATGCAGATAGCATATTAGGTCTCATTCAGCCTTGATCAGAGGTTCCAGCTAATTTTATGACTTTCGGTATAGTAATTTTGCGTCGCTGATGGAATACCATATTTAGACTTGTCATATATGGCTTCTTTGCTATTAGGTAGCGCTTGCGAACTCTCTTGATTTCCCTATACAATTTATGCAATATAGATACTTTGTGGTGGGACTATAGCTTTACATATTTCTATGATAAAGCGAAGCTTCTTTTGCTTAGCACGTTTCGTAAACTGCTAAAATTGTAGGGTTCTATCGCCCATGCGTACGATCTATCTAGCGGGCTATCATAGCTTTTCTAGTATTTTACATTTTTTAGATTTTCTCTCTATGAATTAACTGCTACGTGACCATATTGGCACATTGACCTAACGTCTGGGTCTACGAACCACATACACGTACACATGCACGGAAGAATGCAAGTCGTAATTGCATAGTTCAATTAGCCCTCCTCTATTGGGTTGGCAACTCGACGCCCAACTCCATTTCTGCGTTCAGCTTCTTTATTCTATAAAGCAAAGCTGACCCGAGTCTTGAAACCGGGTACCTCCGGGTAATAAACACCGTCGTGTAGCCATTCGCGGCCATTTTGCTGCGCTCATTGAGCCTTAAATTGCGGTAGAGGTATTCTAGCGTCAGCGTGAGCAAAGCAGTGCCACGGTTAAAAGACATATACAAGAAGATTTCGTCATGAAAAGAAAAAAATGGTAAACAGGCAATTTCGGCGTCATTGCGTCCTCGTCATCGTTCCTTAAACGATCGAAAGATCCGACGAGCTGCTCGAGCCACAGTGGGTGAAAGCTTGATAGCAAAGTGCTCTTTTTCGAGAGCCAAGAACGAAACATTCATTACTCGTGGACGAGCCCCATCGGCGGCTGCTGCTGTCGAAGCTCCGTCCGATTTATATAGCTTGCGGCTATGGGCGATTCACCTGTCCGCGAAAATAATTTTAATTCTCAGATCATGATGGGCATCAGTAACGTAAGTACTAAGAATTAGATTTTTAAGCAATAACATCTTTATACAATTAGGCATGAGAAACGTTGGGCCAGAATATGCGCGTTTAGAATTTGTATTCTTGCCAAATATGTATTGCGACTTCGATATTTTTCAAAACCGTTTGTCAACCCAATGGCATACAAATCCTGGCGAAAGCCAGCGCTGTCGAATATCTCCTTGTTGACATAAAATACGCCAAACGCTTATATGCTTTCCGCTTAGAATGGGTGTGTGGCAATGCGCATGCTACGTTATGTACTGCAGGGTCACTTCGAGCAGATCGACTCGTGCACAGCGGACGACGTTAGATTCACTCAACAGGCAATTACCATGGTCATGATGCTACTTGGCGAAGGAGCTACCCTGTCGACGGTTGTGAAGTGTAATGTGGCCCGTCATTTTACTGATTTGATCTTTCTGACGGAATCCTATGTGCCGGCAAGAGCATATGACGCGGTCAATAAGTCAACTAAACGAATCGCGTCTTTTGCAACCTTCGGTCCTGATTCGTCGGAGTAGATGGATTAATTCGCGGTACACGCTGTACGTGAAGGATTTCTGAGCCCGTTTCTATCTCGAAATTAGTTTCCGATAGAATTGTTCTTCCTTAGGGAACAATTTTGTTACGAGGGGTCGGAAGCGGCGAAACTTGATGGTGCACAACCTAAGATAATGCTCAGCTTAGCTATTAGGTTATCTATTGATAATTTAATCTCAGCAATATACTGACGTCATATATACATACGGCCTTTTCGCAAATCGTGCTTAAAATCGTTGTGTAACTAGAATAACAGGTTCCCGTCTATACGCATGACTAACCTATACTCTTTTCCGGCCTTTGCATGAAGTTTTGGCTAATCATGATGCATCTAAAGAACAATCTGCTTTCGGTCGGCATTAAATGTTTTTGAAAATGCAAGTTCTGAGTGAAAAAATTGTTTCCAAACAATTTTTTTGCTAACTTCTGATTGAAACGCATCTCTGCTCCTTTGCAAGTGCACAATAAACGTTCCCATTATTTCCAATGCTGTTTATCTATCTCTTGTTAATTACGCTCTTCTTTCCTTTCTTTTGTCCTTTTGTTAAGTAATCTGTCGCATTTGCACATCGTCGGCTTCTTCTCGTAGAAAAGATTTCTGGAGAATCTCACGGCCCGATATCGACATGTAACACCCACACACACATATATATATACACATCTGTAAGCAAAAAAAACTGTGCAGATCTCGTCTATACACATTTGCACTTAGTTGTACAATGAACTACCCAAACTTCTCTCTGTCACAGTAGTAACGTCAGGGATGTTAGCGGCATGCAGTAGAACAAACGACAGATGATAATGGCAAAGCAATAAAGTGGGTTTTTGAACTTCGTTGTCACCCGCGCTCACGCAGAAGGCAATTGCTAGTTGGTCAAGAAACGGGGCCGGGAGGGGGCAGAACAAAAAATAAACAGTGACTCGGTGATTTAATGAAACCCAAGTCATGTATACTTTTTTATGGTTTGCTCGTTATTACCTGGTTAGTTTTTATGTGGCGTCTTGGTATAATCAGCTCACCTGCTTCGGGTTACGTCGGCGTTACTGACCTCTCGCCACTTATTACCAATGCGAAAACTCTGTTGGAAAGTTCACAAATGCCAAAACACGGGCCACCAGCTGCAACGGCCCCTTTATGGCAGGCAAACTGTTACAGTTGCCCAAACAGCTAATTTTTATTTTTCCAGATCAACAAAAGCTATACTAAACCTGGTAAGAATTTCGAACGGACAGAAAAAAGTATATATATTCTGTTAAATATCGTCTCATTTTTACACTTATATCACGCATATGTATCTATATATTAGTTAGTATGCTCGTCTCTTGAGCGTCCTTTGAACTACATATGGCAAATCTCATATATATATATATATACGACCAACGTTAAGAATGGGAGTATTTGTACCCCTGGCCGGGGTTGATATCGCGCTAGCAAGCCATGCTTATTCCTACTTGTTATTGAGTAAGGATAAACACTCAGTCGCACGTTTCTATGTTTAAATGCACAGAAATAATAAAGGAGTAATTTTCCAACTTAACTTTAAGTAATACCCGTGATGAATTAAGTAAAAACTATTTGAACGCTTTTTCAAATATAAAGGTTGTAATAAATATTCAAAAACACTCAAATTTGATGAAGAGAAATTGCCGGCAAGCCCGCGACACGTCCGCTGTAACTAATAATTTAATTATATTTTATTAATAAGCTAATTTTCCTGCATTGAAAGTACGTTCGAGACCATTTTCATCGCATAACCGTTTCAGTTCTGGGTGGTGTCATATTTTTCCTCCAAGAAATTTGTTTTTTTTTTTTCGGAAGTTTTTCGGATTACTTCATCCTTATTACCATACATTACGTAATTACTATGCTAACGCTTAATATACTTACCGTAGAACTTTCACTTTGTCCGTAACAACGGCAAAATATATATATATTGAAGACACTATATAGTCACGTTTAAGACAATTTTATTATGACGTTATCAATCAAAGTTACTGATATTTCTCTCAAGAATCTGAGCGTTTTAGTTAGCAAAAAAATAGATCAAATGTATAAACGCTTAATCAGCATGAGCGGTTAAAAAAAAACCAAGACAAAATCTATGATTTACCAAGATGGAAAATAATAACAATAAATATTACTAGCAACTATTTTTGCATTATTCGTTAGGACCGGCCTGAACTGTCTTAATGTAGCATTAGTAACAGCTTTACGCTGAGCAGACTTTCAATGAATAAATGCGTTTAGACATCGGATTAACATCTGTAGAAATATACAAAACTTCAAAGACGATAACGAGTTAGATACCTTCAGCAGATATGTTTTCCAATTTCAAAACCAGCTGAAAAAACTTCTCAAAACAAAAGCCGTTATTTTGGTTTTTATAACCGTCTCATAAGATAAGACTCGTTAATATTTATGACGCATAGAAGGCAGAGTACATTACGAGAAAAGTATGATTCGGTATATATTAGAAACATTTGCGGTCTAAAATGTCTCAAACGATCTAAAATGTCGAGTTTTGAAAAACGGAAACACGCTACATGTTACTGAAATTTCAAATGTCTTTTGCCTTTCTGCCAGCCTGAGACAATTTTAGGTGTAGTTATATAAATTTGAAGAGGAAAAACTCTCTACTGAACAAAACAAAGTAAAAACTTCGTAAGATATATATATATATATTAACTGGTTCAGCCACTCGGTGGCGATCTCCGTGGGGGCGGTGTTTTGATTCTGGTTTTGCTTTCAATTTGCTCTTTGAATTAGCTCCACTCTACAAGTGCCAGTAACCCTCCTCCTGTCTTTCTGACGTTTCCGCCCGCGATGGTGTGTCCAAAACGTAATAAGAACCGGCAAGGAGGCGGAGAAGGAGGCGGAAAAGGAGAAGGAGACGGAGAAGGAGGAGGAGGAGGAGGAAAATGAGGAGGAGGAGGAGGAGGAGGAGGAGGAGGAGAGGTGATCGGTTGAAAACACGCTCATGCCATCATGATTTCAGGTAATCTAATGAAGTCGACGAAGAAAAACGACGTCGAACACACCAGCCAAGTATTGGCTCATTCTGATCTGTTGTTTTTCTTCTTCTGTCGCGTTCCCGTTTAGCCAGCGGCTAGGATCGAAACAGTTGTAACGTTATGCAGGCCAAATGCTAACGATAAATTGCAGAAATGACAGCACCGCTGCCGTCTGACGCAGCAGCTGCGATTAAGACCGCGCTGCACTGAATCCTTTATATAAAAGCGGAATAGAATCAACAGACATTGGTCGACGAAACGGCAGATCGTATCGATGTAACCAATAGTTCGATTGATCTCGATCAGGCGGTGGCGTCAGATCGAGCCAGACGGACCACGATAAAAATAGCAAAAGTGAAACTACACTTTTTGCCGTTGTTGTTATCGTCGCTGTCGTTGTTCTCCGGTTGACAACAGTAGTTATTGGTTGCTACGATAAGTTGACACTTTGATAACTTTTTTTGGTTGGTCTTTCTTCTTGTTTGCTCCGTTATGGTAATTCTATCCGTTTTTGGTCTTTAATATAATTATGGTTGCACTTTATACTAAATATAATGTTTTCTTTGTATGGGGCGGGATAAGATCGCTCATGAATTTCTCTGGATGGTATCTTGATTTGTTTATACTTCGTTCGAAAAGAGAGGTTATTGATGATTTGGTTCATAGAACGGCTGCGGAAAAGGCAAGAGTGCGTCTGCAGATTACGTCGCCTACGAGGCCTTAGTTACGTTTGTCGTAATTGCAACTTTTGCTGTAAAAGTATAAAAAAGCTTGCTGTAAATGTAAAAACAGTTTATGGGCGAGTCAAATTTGTATGCATGCTTGCACGGCTGACTAATGTAAGTAATTACACATAGCACTTTATCGCTCTGATCGCGTATTTATTCTTATTCTATGATTGCGACGCGTCTGTCGAGGCGACTAGCTCTATAAACTTGAAACTGTTTAACTTAGTTCGAAAATACGCAGGATATACATTTGATTAAAGATTAAAATTAATTATAGATGTAAATTGTCAATTTTCGAAAAATGCTCGCAACATTTTTGCGGATTTTCCTCAATCATGGCGGCATTTTCAAAATCATAATCAATACAACGCTTCGTCTGCTATGCCAGCTAATCTAGTCGACTCTTACGTTTCCAAGTTTGCGCTCGATATCCGTACCTGCAATAAGGTGGTAGAAAAAAAGAACGTTTTGAAACGTGTCTCACTCGTGGGTAAAACAGAGTCAAGTGAAACACTTGAGGTCGAGAAAAGGTAAGATTTCAGTGTGTACCTAATAAAAGCCCTACTAGCTACTACTAAAGAAAACTGCTACTAATAAAAAAAAAATGCGTTTCATCTGTCTGAAATTAGGAGACAGCAATGGGCGAATTAAAATGTTCTGTTTGGAATCTTAGTTAATTAACGCCCGACCACCAATGTTTATATCGAAAAACTTCATAAATTATCATAACTTCATAAAAATTTGTCTGAGGGACTTCAATGAATCGAGAATAGTGACTGCGAATTAACGTATACGTTTCAACACACAGCCGTTGTCTAGGGTAGGGCAAGTAGTCGTAGATGTGTTTACCTGACGAAAGCATCATGTAAATGTAAAAAAAAAAAAGCCTAAACCATGCAGTAGCTCGCTTTATTAAGATTTGGATAGGACGAGTTAATAGTATCGGTAAGGACTAAGTGGTAATATTAGACAATACTATTAATAAAAACTACGCTAGTTATTACTAGAAGTGTTTCATCTCGGTCCAAATTAAATAGCTATCGAAAATGTCTCGTCTTTAGGGTAGTTATTTTTAATATAGCAGTTGAACCGAAACCCGGTTTCGAAATAATGCCGCAAATACATCATTTGGCCGACGACAGCTAACATGACGCCAGCGTTGGGCCTCATCGAAGCGCGAAGCAACAGACGCCGCTAGAGATCATGTTATTTTTTAGGCATAAAAATTCATATTGGAACAAGCTTGACATCCTTTTTAACTAATAAATCGCTTTATTATCTTCCGTCACTGTGCTGCTCCTGCTTCATCGCACTTTAATTGCTTCAGCGTATCAATTTGTAGATTTTCGATTGAAACAAAATTGCATTATTTATTTGTGATTTTATGATCGGTAGTTGCACTTAATCGCCAGCCCTATCTGTTTGTCACGGGTCTGGGCACAGCGACACAACCCGCGGCCCTAGATGTCCTTTGTTGTCAGAATCAATCACTGTGCCATAGTTTTTATCGGTGACTATTTGCTGATGACACTACTTACGTATGAGAAATCCCCCCACCCCCCACCCCCCTACAGTGATTCATCTTTCTCCCGCCGAATAGCATCCCTTCATCGACGTTATGTTATTTCACGGAGTAAACGGACTTTGTGGTCGTGAAATCGTATCGGACTACGCCGACTGAAACAGAGTGAGCTGCTGCAATTAATTACTGCCGCTATCCGGCATGACCAGCGGTCGGCGTTCTACAGTGCAATTATCTTAGTCGGTCTCGTTCGTACGCGCGTAACGTGCACCGTATGCGATCGAATCAGCGTCCACGTTTTTTACTTAGTTAGGCAACAGAATCTCATTAGCTGACGACATCATACAATTGCGTTCTTTTAGATGAAGGAAGCTTGCTGGTACGAGCAACTGTAGCTGGGGTACAGATGCAGCTCAATGGATCGTTGTAGAAGTGTGAAATCGCTTATTTTTTCCAGGTGTACCTTTTCATCGTATGTCAACGATGCTACAACGACCATCTGGCATACGGTGCGATCAATGGAACGGCTAGATTATCTAGAGCCGAGTGCATACTGGTTCGGTAATGTTTAGGCGACTGGTCGACTCAGCAATGCTTTCACCGTCGATGGATTATTACCGCTCTGTCGACAAATCCGAACTATATCAGCTTCATACAGGCCATATGTATAGACATGGTATTAGTAACGGTAGGACCGTTTTGCATTCGCACATTGAGGTCGTGTAGAATTCGGGTATATCACCACCCCCATCTGTACTAGTGCTATAACTAATTATAGATATTTACACCCGTTTTTTCACCACCGATAGCAGTCCCATTACACCGCACATTGTTACTATGTATGTTATTCTATATTGCCATTGCATTAGTATGCAGTGTGTATATATAACCTGCTGGTCTGCCTATATGTAGCGCTGTTGTTGTAACCGTGTCGGTCCCTTGGCTGCGGTTCTCCTGCAGCGTCCGGTTGGCGGTCTGGCTTGCCTCCTTGCTTGGCCAAAAGTCTATCTTGTGACGGTGTCCCACGGTAGCTTCTCACGGTCGATGTATGCTTACAGCGTGCCGGTGTGCCTAGCAGATCGCGCGTAGCTTGCAGCGTCTTCGCACCGCCCCGTTTGTCGTTCACTATCTGCGTGTGCGAGCGTATATGTTCGATTCCGCATTCCAAGGATGCCGGCCCTCGCGACCCCTGTCGACGCTTACATCGGCCAATCGCGGTTCTTGGTCCCTTGACCCGTTGCGCATCCGCAAACATCGAAAACAACAACTGACGGATCGTGTATATATATAAAAAAAAAAACTATTAACACTATCAAGATCCGCCGCAAATGCTGGCTTCGCTGTAATGTATTGTAATAGCTAACGTGTAATGGCACCGAAGTGAAAAACGGGGTTACTCTGTTAGCTATTGCAGATATGTTTGCGATCCGAAATCGGAGCCGGCATCCGCGTGGCGGCGACGTTGGGCGGCCCTTTTGCCTGTCTGCGAATGCGTGATGCTGACTGAAAATTGCACGTGCCGCGCACGCTATACTACTGCAAAGATCGCCGCCTGTGGCATCGCAGTCACTGCATAGCATCAAAAACAAACACGACGTTGCGTTACTAAGCTATGTTGATTTGAACATGCGTGTACGTGTTATGGATCGTATCAGCACATGCATATAAATACAATATATCTATATATATTATCTCAGAACTTGACAAGCTCCGCTTACTCGGGACCTGGTGAATCTAAGTCCACGAGAACGGCCAAACGTATGCACGGCATTCGAACGCAGCCTGCATCTCTTTTGACCGGGATGCTTATAGTCCTGTAGGCCACATTGGCCTGAACTTTTCACGGCGTAATCTGTAATTGGGAATACTCAGAACAGTACGATGCGCACAGAGAGGTTAAACGCACGTGGAATGACCTTGGCAATGCTTTCTGGCGTCTGCATACGGATATAACAGGACACAGCATAAACGCCATAAACATAGTAGAGGTGGCTCTTTCTGTCGCCATTTTCCATAGACAAATACTAATACTGCTGCTACAGTGATGAAATAACTCGATATCCATTTCCAATTATTGCCCATATCTGTGCATTTAAATCGATAAAATGCCTATGTACACACGAACCCACCATTTCGGCGGGTTTAAAATAGGCAAAAAGGTTAATCTGGGCGTTGAACATGGCCATTTGGTTGAATGATAGCGATGATTTGAATTCATCAAAATAGACCATTCATGCACATATTGCCCGAGGTGACAGCGCTTTCAGTGCGATGCGACCAAATTATAAAGAAGGCTGAACGTCTCAATATGGTATAAACGGATCGGATGACCACTGATTTTCAGGCGTTTCGCCTCCTATAAAAATGTTTTTTTTTTCTATAAGCTGTATTGTTCACAGGCCGCGAACCTCGAATAGAGTCTTCATTAGGTATAAGCTGTTGGGGACGGGGGTAGAATACTGAATCACTAATATATCTCTTAAAAGTTCAGTACTTTCTTTAGTCGATCACAAAATTACATGAAACAAAAGCAGAAATCAATAAGATAGTAACAAATATAAACAGCGTCATGAAATATGAGGGTTTTGATTAGTTCCAGTATATATTCAAAGCTTATTTCAACGAAACAATGAGTTTCACAGAGTGAGAAATAGGGGGTATGGAAATTCGTTGTACGCTTCGAAGATGTACTAGGCGAGCCTTATCTATTGTGACGAACTGTGTGACTGTTCGCACCTTTTCATAAATCGTTGTCACAACAAGATTCGGGACCTTAGATTTCAGTTACAAGTGCCTCCTCTGTTCTTTTAGTTACGCCCTATACTGAATGAACGATCCCGTTCGCCGCGGTAGCTTTTGACAAACGAAACTTTGGTAGTCGTAAATGTTGTAAGTACTGTGTGTGTGTAATTCGTCTTATAAACGATGTATTTTAGACGAAGCACATTTCTAGCAAGTTTAAAGAATTTGTTACAGGTTTCTTATTCTACTCTTCTCTACTTTTTTTTTTTTGCCTAATACTTTGCTTAGCCAAGAGACAGTAGCTGGGATTTTATTTAAACGTATTGATCGGCGCCATTTGCCTGTTGACCAAGCCTCCCCGTTTCGGTAGTCTGTAAGATAGTTTATTGAAGGCTCGTATAGTGCGGCCTACAACTGGCCCGATTATTCACTAAGCGTCGTATGAGTTTTCACAAGGTTAGGTTATGAGATTTAATTTTAGAACCAATTTTAGAAGGTGCTGATAGAACTCTAGCTTTGCTTAGATGATTTGCTGTCTCCGGCAATTGCGACTCCTACGGGATGCCGCGTACTGCATGCTATGTATGCGTGTACAAAGACTGTCGTCGCTGTCGTTAGCATTATCATCCGCCACTGCCCATTTCAACTGTCACCGTCACTTCTAGCATCGTATCGCGTCGCAAGAAACTGGGTCGACTTTTCTCTCAACGTCAGTTCTGCGGCTGCCAGCCCTATTCCTAATGGTCGTCTGGAGACCGTCAGCGGGGGCTAGTTAACATTGCATTCATCACCCTGTTACGGCTAGCACCGATCCCTCAACAGAAGCCGACATGGACTTCTTTCTTTTAGCTCCGAAACCAATGGCAGTGGAACTACCTGCCCAGTAGCGATATCGATCCTACTATTGTCTACCAATGCACTTGGTATGTATTCCACCGTGCACAACGCTGCAATAGTAATAACACCAGCCGTAGAGGACATAGCATTGCGTACATAGCAGTTCTTATGTCTCATGCACCATATATAAGCCACGTGTAGTCGTCTAATATATTTAGTGTATCAAGTGGAAGGTAGAAAATAGTAGCTGCTCCTTGCTTACAGTAACAAGGCCCTTTAGCAGCGCCTGACCAAACAAACCGATTATCTGCCAGAGGATCCGTTTGCCTATTTGCTTGTAGCGTGCAACAGGTCCGAACGAACATGAATAGGCATACGTTAAACGAAATTGTCATCGGGCAGAAATTACAGTCAGTACGCGGATTCATAATCGGGCCGAACACGCGGTTCAACTTCGGCCGCTGTGACTGTTGCTAGGGGGATGACGAACTACCTAGTAGATATTCGGTATACCAACTGGCCGCTAACTATAATTAGCACTGCGACTGCCCCTATTGCCGTTGATCACTGCGAAGATGGTTAGGACGTTCGGCCAATACTCCCTTTAAGCTCCCCGTACCGATAACGCTAAGATCGTGTTGTCACGACTGGCGCTGCTGTAACGGTCGCGCCCGCTTCTTTTAATATCCTGTCTACCGCTTCAAAACAAACACTTCAGACGCACATAAGCGTGATCGGGAGAAAGTCGTACGTAAAACGCATGCAGTTGCAGTAGCCACATGGGGGCAGCAGCAGCAAGCTTGCATTGCCCCAGCAGCGAGGCAAAAAAATCAACAATGGTAACAACGACACTAGGGACAGTGGTATGATTAACACAATGGATGCGAGTTGCGAATCAGCGATCGGCCGGCGCCAGTACACGCTTACCGAAACCGCTAGGCTGAATGAGGCGGGTTTTCTATAAGAGACGGATAACAGCAACGAGAGAAGATTGCCGGTAATGATGATAAGGCATCTTTGGAATTGAACGGGGCCAGTGAATATGCTTGTAGTCAAATACAACAGCCAGTCTAAATATATATACACATATATATGATCCAATGTAGAAAAATGGCTCGTTGGCAGAGGGCACTTGAGTTAGATATACATATTAGTCCGCGTATCGTGTGGGGCATTGTGAAATTACGTAATACCTATAGCTAAAATGTATATATAATGTACAGATTATGCTCATAGGCGTTTTTATCATAAGTTTGATTGAAGATATTCTACAGCTAGGAATAATATATGCGTTAGGCGTAGCAGCTATTGCACTAGCTATCATGTAATTAGGCAAGCGTAAGTAGTACTTACTTCTGATATTCTATCAGGTGTCTTCTTTAATGCACAACAAAAGGAAAAAGCACACAGACTATACCGAAACTATCATGTTTTATAAAGACAACAGAATAACTTGAATACAGAATCCCTGATTCGTTTGTGTGTATGTTATTACTGTGACTATAAAATACCTTGAAGTGAAATTCTGAGTTAGCAGGAAGGGTCGTGTTGGAAAGCGTCTATCAGAGCCACTGACAGACCTGAACTATTGGGGTGTGGCACCATGGTATCTACAAAACCACTAGATCTTCTGGCTTCGCTTGGGAATGGACGACCGCTACCAAAACGTCTATAAATGGATATTATAACAGTAATAATGGAGACCTTTAACTCGAGACCCCTCGCACACCAGTTCAGACCGCCGAAACCACTACAGACGTCCGCTAAATGTAGGTCATTGCGTTGTTTGTGACAATGACCATTTTTATCCTGACGTCGCGCTCGACCCATGACATCGTTTATTTCGTTGTCTATAACGAGCAGCATTAATTTTATCCAAATGCCGCTGCCGTCGTGATCAACGACATATCACTCTCATATCAACTCTTGCCGTTGGCGTGTGGTTGCGTCTAGAGCCGCCGCTGCTGCTGCTGCTGCTGCTGCTGCTGTAGCTGCCCCTTCTGCTGCCCCAACCGGAAAACAACGTCTGTTCAGCATTGACGGCATCTAGCCGCCCATATCATCATCTTCTAGGGCCCTGCAACCCCGCCACGTCCTTTGCGACTCTCCGTGCCTAGGCAACGATCTCCGTATTCCTGATTTGACAGAGCAGATACCGTATTTCCGCTGCCGACCTAAATAAGCGTTGCTGACTTGTTGACGTGGACAACATCTCTGAACTCACGTAACTATGCAAGCTACTGAGCCTGTGGGTCTCTCTGGACATCTTTCCGTTCGACTGCGTACACGACCCGTACCGTCTCCGGACTGACGCTGTAGCTAGTCGCCTACGTGAGCGTTCATGGCTCTATTGCATATGTTCCACTGATACGAAAAAGGAGAGGACGCCTACACCGCTTGCTTAAGCGCCAACACGTGCTCATAGCCATTGCCTCTTGTTTTGAGCTGGCAGCTTGTGTCTGCGATCACCTTTTGTGGTGGAGACGCATAGCACCTGTACAAGACCTTCTTTTCGTCGTCTTCTGTCGCTGGCGAGTACTTTGAGGCGGTCACAGTAGTGTTCGAAGCAACGGAATGTTTTGCCGCCGCCATCGAAAACAGCCGTTGCGGTCGTCTCCCAGCTACTTAAATGCTTAACCGTCCGGCACCATTAGACACAGCTAGCGAGTACGTACAATATACAGAGCTACAGAATCTATTAAGTAGCTAACGAATAGCGATTTATTCCGCCGCAGACGCCTGCAACATAATTGCTAAATAGCGGCGAATCATGTTAAAAGTAGTAACTATGAAGCAACGCTCAGTGACAACACCGGACGTACGTTTAAAAGATTTATATTGAATCGCTATCGTTACGAGCGATTGCCGCTTGTACAAAAGCGACCACCATGACCATTGTTGGCAGGCTGCTACGAACGTTGGTGCCGCTGTGCCATGTTAACACAATTCGAGATCAACAAAATGGACTCACACGGATTCCTGGAATTAGACGCTGAGAAATTTCTAGGCAGTCTGATCTTAATATCTGGAATATTGCCATTGCTGATTACTGAGACGATATATGTTCTAAAACGAACGATTTGTTTTCTAGTTCGAGAGTGTCTCCTAACGACATGTATCTGTCGGTCCCGGAATTCCCCCTACATAATACTGTCTAATGGCCATATTATAAATTCGAAAAAAAATACACATCTTCAGCATCACAAAATACAAAATAATATTGTGTATTTATAGAAAAAGATATAAATAGGCGGAGTACATATGTACAAACGATGAGCAGGACTGCTTGTGTTAGATTGTTGGAATGAGTGAACACATGTAGTAAATGTTGATCATTGCACCCTCGTCAACTCATAGCAAGACCGTTGTCTAACACTTCGCTAGAAAGATTTACGATTCGAGAGGGGGTTCTAGAACAATAATAACCGTATGATAATATGTTGTTTTTTTCATTTAGTGGTATTCGTTTTACCTTGCACATTGGAGCTATCGCTCTGGAGACTCTCCGGCGTTTTATTATTGCTTGCCGTGCAATTATTTTACCCACTTTTAATATCTATTGTCTCGGTAAACCAATTTATGTTTACATAGTATGCGCTACAGGTTTTCCTCTTGGGGTATATTAGCAATGAAAACTGTATAAATATATATAAATCTGGTAAATTTTAGGTAAGCCGCAGCTTGCCTAGGTCCGAACCCAGACCGAAGACTACAAAGAAAGGCACTCTGCGTAGACCTCTGACGCGCGCTCCTGTAAACGTTACTTACGTCTTACGTTGATTTTTTTCTATTATATATTTTTTGTTTCTCTTTTTTTATGAATTGTAACTTTGCACATTAAGTTTACAGTTACGCTTCAGCGCTAAAATTATAGCTTACGGGATGCAATTTTAGCTTGAAGTTAATCGTGCGCCATTTTGGAATAATTAAATGCCAGCTCGAAGAATACCGGTCTGGACCGACAGACTTTATAGTTCGAGCTTTATTTTAGCCTAAATACATAAACCTTGCGTTGCGAAGTTCATCGTCTCGGTCCACCTAAACTTACATGCAACTGAGAACCAGACTTGTGCATGATTTATCCAGCCTGCCGGCGAATTCTGCTTGTAGAGCTATGGCCGGCTAAATTCACACAGCTTCAATCGTAACCGTAAGGTCTTTACCGTAAACATTTGCTTTGTTGAAAACTGAACTTTATAAAGTAATAACTAGAAAGAGCAACACTGTATATATCTTTACCCTTGAAATTAGAGAAGCAAGACTGTGACCGAATTTGTTTAGGGAATGAAATAGTCAATGAAGCAATTATTTTCTGTACAAAACAACAAAAAAGTATATTCGGTCGTCCGTATATAACTGATACAGCCATACGAGACTCGTCATTGAACTCTCTAGGAAGCCCCACGGCGACGATCGTCGGCCCCACATCGCATATCTTTCGGCTTTCCCGCTAGATCAAAGATATACTGCTTTCTCCTCGCACAAAAAACTGGAGCACATAGAGACTTCAAGCGCCGCGAACTTTAATCTTCTACGAATGAAGGATATATTGCAGTGTGTATGGATACATTGTGTTGAAACGCTTCTAAATAAAACGAAAATCCAGTAAAGAGTGTTCAGCTTACTCTTTATTACTAACTGGATTCAATATATATTATTCTAACATAGAGCAGAAACGTGCGCCTAAACAACGTCATAATATAGGTAAATCAATAAATCAGATGCACGTACATGCGTATGTTAAAGAAAAAAATCGAGGTCACTTAATCTAGCCGCCGGAACGGAATATTATCAACTTTCTAAGATCAAATAGTTTTATAACAGGGGCATCCTTATCAGAAATATTATATAAGGTATATTGCAGAATATAATTATCCTCTATGTAACTGGACGTACATTTAGGTATAGTAGTAAATGAATGAAATAGATGTAACTGTAGCTCACCTTATTCGGTTGTATCAGCGGCTTTAATAATGAAAAAAAAAAAAAAGAATTACAAAAAAAATTAGCCGGGCTTCTCATTCCACAGTAGCCGATGATAGAATGCAGATGGCAGAAGAGCTTGAATGATTTTCCAAGTACGGCTTAAGATTATTCCAGATTACATAGTGTCCATAAATCCTGCTGTGTTATAAAACAATGCTGGTCCAACCTTGGAGGCTCTGCGCTGCTAACTCACGGCAGTACGACAATTCTGTGAGTGTTAGAGCATTCTCACGGTTCCTATTTCGACCTCAAATCGAGGACTTACTTGGCGCTCCAAAATTGATGTATTTGATTAACTCATCTTCCTGGAAATGGATAAGATTACTCGATTCCAAGTGGACTTTTTGCTTTTTCAGAACGTCGATTAATCTCATTTGCTTCTTAATTAGCACGAGTAGCTCAACCTTCTGCTTCTCGAGCACCTGGAAAAGAACAAACGGGAATGATTTTCGTCAGGAGGCGTGTGAAGCCGTGACTCCCCTAGCGTTGCCGGATACCTACAATTTCTGAAACGGCAGATTAGGTTCGTCCTCATCGGGAAGCGCAAACCCGATAGCCCTGCGTATACACAACACAGCCTTAGTCGCAGGTGACGACAGGTGACCAACTAACCACTGGAATCACCCATTTTATATGTAAAGTATATCTTTTAGGATGGCCGACGGACCCTATCGCGTATGGTTGTACCGCTAAGCTTATTCGTTTTTTGCAAGAAAATTCTTGTTTACTAGGACATGCACAAGAACATACACATATTCAAACATGTTAAGGGTACCAAAGCGAGGAATTTGGGGTCGGCACGCATTCCGCTCACGACCAAAGATGCCACTTCACTCGGTGCTAGATAAAATAGCGTCTTTGTCGAAAATTGACAAGTTTGTATGGCACGCAAATTTCCGGTAATAACTACAAAGCAAAATATGAAATCTTATACTATCGTTTCTTCCGTAATAACTATATTATTACATTCCGGTAATTTAAGCATTGACAATATAAGAAACATTTCTAAACGGACGGAACGTTTCTCATATAGAACTAGCTTCACAAAAATTATCAATCACAAATGTTCAGGGCAATATAAACTGGTTGGCTGTACTCACTGCATATTCCTTCCACAATTGAAATTAATAGAAATACTTTACTGAATTCGATACTTATCACCTTAATCGTTCGTTTGGGACTCATCGTTTCCGTATAGCTCGTTTACCGCCATTTGCTTTTCCATTTATGAACATGCGTTAAGCGTGATTTCCGGACAAACCATATAAAATAGTTGACATAACAAAGATCATCGTATCATTAGATAGGGGGCGTAATCAACTACAATGTTACATCAAGAACACAGATAATTTACGCATACTTCTAAACGTTTATGCTGAACCAGGTTCGTAAAACTTAGTATTATTCAACTCGCTTTTGCATATGAATCTGTACGGGAAAGGCCATCATAAATTCCTGCAACGGGTAACCGACATTTTTTTGACGGGGTTTCTCCGCAGCGAACTGCCGAGTCCCGCAATAGCGGTCTGATCTCCGGCTACTTATTTTTTCGTAGCACACGTATGGCAAACCTCCTTTATAGTCAATCAACCAATCTGTGTGCGATCCTCATATTTTCTCTGACTAAACAATATTAGCTAGCGTACACTGACTGAGATTAAGGCCCAGCCGTAAGATACCTATCACAAGCGACCTTCGCTTTGAAGCGGAAACTACTAAGTCATGTTCATCTGGATTACGTGTTCCATAATCTATATGACTAATCAGCAGTTATAATATTCTATCACATTAGAACTGTAGCGTCACATCGTGTGTATAGCAGGCGTCTCAGAATAACAGAGAAATGGAGATCTCACAAGCGGGAACGTTCTCTTTTCCTTCCTGCACATGCTATTGATCGCGATGTAACAACGATTGCATGAGCTCAAGGCTCAACGAAACAGGCTATGCTGTTTGGAGGGACTATGACATGGACTAGCGGCATGGAGGAACAGCAGTACCTCCGGCATATTATTATCATTACTATTGTTATTACTGTGATATGCTACCCGCCCACATTTGCACTACTTCCTCATAAATACAATGATATTTCAATATACTAGAAATTTGGATTGTGGGCATCGAAATCGAAAACCAAAGAGAGGCAACAAACGTGCGACTCGAGAGCGCGACTCAAGTAAACTGGACCTTCTCGGTAGGCCCGACACGAATCGTGTCTGTCAGTAGTCACTGACGCAAAAGCCGATAGGAGGAGCCTAAGACGGAAAAAATTCGCGAGTTGTGACGTATGCGTACGTTCCCTAGAATGATCATCATGACGGCAAAAGCTAAACTTTATTATTTTGCCACGCTACTAGTCGACTATTACAGGAAACGTGGAGGAAGTGGTCGCTTATCCCCTTGCCGACGATACCATTGGCTCTACTCGTTGTCATTCAGAATTGTTACATCACATCTACGACTGCACCGATAGAGATAAAGCATTCACAGAGAATGCCATTGTAACCGTGACAATAGGAGGAGACATGGCGACATTGGACCTTGGCTAGGCAGTTAGTTATTCGGTCGTCAGCGCATGTATATGATACGTAGTCTCAACGCCCGTTTCCACACAGTCACTGACTCAGTCCCGTTGGTCACTCAACACATTCAATTTTGAACAGCTAGCTATACCAGTCACGAAGTATGGAAGATGGATGTTCCAGCGAACGAACCGATGGCGGTTATATCGGGTTAAAGAAATTGACCACGGGGCTCTTGATCAAGAACGCTGTTCTATATGTAACTAGCGGTGGGAGAGCCAGAGGTTAGCCATATACCACACTAGGATGTATGGCGGCCTTTTGTTGAATCTTAATCGGGCCCACACATACGATGACGAATACAGTTGTCCTAGTGGCAAAAATATCCTTACACTAGCGGGAGGTTGGCCTTTTTATTGTTTCCTGTAATGTCCCCGCTCTCGTTTGCCTTCTTTAGAGAGTTAGCGAGAACAGTATGTCATTCACTTATAGCGACTACATTATTGCAGCTGGTAAGTGGCCCACCTTAGCAGATGGTACGGCAAGCCACTCAATGCACGTTGAGTGTCCACTCGATCAAACTGTGATTGATATAGAGGACTGATCAAAGGTGGGTATGCTTATAGTATTCTTGCTTTTTCAAATAAAACTATGGTTGTCTGGCCACGACTTGTGGGGTCAGCGTACGAATCGTCAAACCGACGAGATAACTCTAGCCCAGATAGTTCGAATTGTGACAGAAAGGTGTTCATTTACCTCGTCGCTCGATATTTAACGTTCAGGTGAACTTTTTTTTCAAACATAAGCTGGGCGTATATGGAAGAGGGAAAGCACCGGGTACGAGCAAGCTTTGGTTCCTCATGTAACATTTCCAGGTGGTCTGGTACTTCACGGTTCATTATCATATTATGCTGTCTCATTCATATACGGGTTTGCTGGGACAAGTATATTGATATATCTACATTGGTGTGAATAGCACTTAATTTTAGTGGATAGCATTTAAAAAGTTCGGCTTTTCTCAGCGCTCATTTTTAGGCTACTACAACCTTTTTCATAGTTGTTTTTTTTTTTTTCTTTTTACTTTCTTGTCACCTGGTCAGCAATTTTTGTTCATGTTACCTGTACTTTGTCAAGTAGCTCGGTGAGGTTGCGATCCCGAGCCCCGGATTCATCCGTTGAGGAACGCAAGATCTGCAGCTCCATCTGACAACGTGATAGTTCCGCTTCGAGATCCGACACCGAACGATTGCCACCGTGACCCGAAGCCATCTATAGACATTCATTCCGAAGTGCATCGTGTTAGTTTTTTCAGATTTATGCATTTGTTATAATAGAAACTCATTGCTCGCAATGTTTCCTATTGCTAATTAGAATAAGACATACTTAAATAGTGCCTCGAAATACTTTGTTAAATCACAAAAACAGCATGAGGCTCGTGAATATCTTCTACTACCAGCAATAGCATTTCACCATCGGCTCAACATTGCTAACGACAGTTAGCTAATATTATCATGTACAATTCTATACGATCCTGCGAAAACGCTAGTGACGAGTGTGTTTTTTTTTCTCGTGCGGCAGCTGTTACTCAACTTTTCTCTTGTAAAAATTTCATGTCTGGTAGAAAACCACCATCTTTAACGTTCAGACCTGCTTGTTCCCTGCGTTCATGGTTCCAGGTATCAGGGTTTGGTCTCTAGCAGATTTATCGAAACACCAAGATGCTATCTGGGCCACGATCTAATTCGCTCTGAGCTCTGTGTTCACGTACCTTTAAGACTTGTGTACCAGCAAGCAGAATGGAGTGTCGATGCCTGAACCACCGCTGGCTAAAGGGTCCTTTTGATGGGCTATAAAATCCAGTTAGATATATTATCACTATTAGTTTGAATAACGTGCTTCTCTGGACATCACACCACTAATCTCGTATAGTTGTCTAACAGGATCAGGAGCCTCGAACGGACGCACGTAGTTTTACTAACAAGATGCGTTTTTTGTTGTTGGTATGATCGTGAGGCTGTAATATGTGTCGATCGACCGACTGTAGTTGTATTGCATTGAGAGTGGACAGCTGGGAACTATTCTCCACAGCAACGGTTGTCTGCAGTTAGGGTGCGCGAGGGCGGGTGCTCGGAATTCTGGTGCGGCGCTATGGAACACCAGATTGCCACCAAGCAGCCCAGCTCCGCTAGGGTATCGCAGGTAGATTAATATACTATGTAAACATGTCTGATTTTTTCCGTATGCATGTAAACATATCGTACCAATTCTCGTCACCTTAAACGGCAGTCTATTTTGTTGAACCGTATAAACATTACCAAATTTAACCACTTTATTGAAAGTTGTAGCGTACTGACGTGCGAAAACGTTCGAGTTTTCTATATAGTTATACAGAATAGTTTATCTCTGCTAAAAGACAATCCGCACATATGCGCAATAGACCCGTTCGGCTGTAACTACGTAGATGATATGCTCGTCTTGCGTTGAGAACGAGCTATAGGATCAAGCAACCTGAATTAGATTCAAAATTATAATGTCTAAATCTTATCTATCAGTCAAACGTACCACCTAAACATTTATGGACGGTTAAATCTTTCAAGATCTACTCATAGGAGGAATATTGCTTGTTGTCCCAGGCGATGCCATCTCCTCAAAGCTAACGTTCGTCTATTTTATCTAACGCCCACGACAAATCAGAGTACCCTACGTATGGAGATATAATACGGTTGAGTA